ACACACAACAATTAAATAATTATCCTGTTATTGTACTGGAAAATAACAGTTGCTTGCACTAGGTACATTGAACATGCAATGAAATCTTCCTTCGCACATGAAAAAAAAACAAACCCTGTGACTAGCTTGTTATTTACCATATCCAAAGACGTAAATAATGCTCTCTACTAACAGGGCAAATAGATCACAGGTGTCTAGTCAAGCAATGTTGTTCAATGGAAGCTCAACGGTTGTTTCACTTCAATGCAAAGGCATAGTTCTCTCTTTTAAAGATGCATTGTAGCATTGGGGAAGTTCTGTAAAGGAGACAACCTATTTTAATCTGACGTATAACATTATGGACAAGATTCACTTACTGTAAGACCAGCTGACATTATTCGTTGGTAGAGTTCATCGTCTTCCCGTCCCCAGCCCCAGAACTTGTTTGATAACCCATTGACCTAAGAGAACATTCAAGCAGAATCACAGCTCAAACTAGTTCAATACTAGTTATTTCTCATGAATAGTGGCTTTACAATACCGTACCTTCTCAAAATGCTCAACTGACATCATTAATATGCCCCCAACAAAAGTACGATAATGGTATTTAGGATGAAGATGAGGAGCTGATATGTGAAATGGTCCTTTTTCAGGAAAACCATAAAACAGTTTGTTGTTCAGTGGTAACAGATCGACATCATGCATGACAATATAATCACAGTTGTCTTTTCTTGCTGCTAGGAATCCAACATTAAGTAGACTAGCACGGTTAAATCTGTTCAATAACAAAAATTAAATTACAAAAAGGAAACACCAATTCTGCGTTCCAGTATCAGGTAAATGAAAACTGCAACTTTGAGTTGGAATAAGTAAGTCTAAAAAGTCTCTAGTAAATCTTACATGTAAGTCATTGAGACAGATTGACATATTTATTTGTATAACATATCACTTGCACAACCAAAAATGAACATATTAACATTTTGTTAATTTTTCTTTTGATGATGGAAAAATACTGTTTGCTGTTAAAGTCCTTCGAGCATGTGAGGCATTAGTTTACATTTATTGTAAACAGAGAAAGCCTGCTGCAGGATTCTCCCCTTGTGGTTCCAGAGGCTAAACTGCATTCTTCCCTTACTGAAGTGAAACAAATTGAGCCTCTGGGACCAAGCTCCAGGAAGCTGACACTTTGATAAAATCTTTCAATATTTTAAAACAAGGTATATTTTCATTCATTGTCTTTACTGCAGAAATGAGAAAAATATCATTTAATATATAATATGTCTAAATAGTCTRTGAAGAAAACTCTATTAAACTACATTACTTTATGATACTAATAATATTACATATAAAATAATTTTCAATATTTAATTTGGTCTATAAYGTTCGTCAGCTTTTCTTTTTCTTGACTTCTTGACACCAAGGTGTTTCATCAATGTCGCATTCTAGTTCTACATTCAAGATGGTCAGCGGAGCTCCATCAATTGTCATTTCTTTTCTACTTGTTATCTCGTACTCGATATTATCAATTCCTGTTTTCTTGTCCCTTTTGAATGATGCCTAATGGATGAGGAAAATATTCACTGGATTGATATGTTTGTAATAATTGAAAAACAATCATGTTTGCATAGGATCTTACCGCTCTTTGACCAAACACTCGACTGTAATCTCTAGGTCGAACTTTAGGGTCGTGATCATGCTCAAATGTGTTATACCCTGTAGTGATGCTCTTCTTGCTATGTCTGTATATCTAATACACACAACAATTAAATAATTATCCTGTTATTGTACTGGAAAATAACAGTTGCTTGCACTAGGTACATTGAACATGCAATGAAATCTTCCTTCGCACATGAAAAAAAAACAAACCCTGTGACTAGCTTGTTATTTACCATATCCAAAGACGTAAATAATGCTCTCTACTAACAGGGCAAATAGATCACAGGTGTCTAGTCAAGCARTGTTGTTCAATGGAAGCTCAACGGTTGTTTCACTTCAATGCAAAGGCATAGTTCTCTCTTTTAAAGATGCATTGTAGCATTGGGGAAGTTCTGTAAAGGAGACAACCTATTTTAATCTGACGTATAACATTATGGACAAGATTCACTTACTGTAAGACCAGCTGACATTATTCGTTGGTARAGTTCATCGTCTTCCCGTCCCCAGCCCCAGAACTTGTTTGATAACCCATTGACCTAAGAGAACATTCAAGCAGAATCACAGCTCAAACTAGTTCAATACTAGTTATTTCTCATGAATAGTGGCTTTACAATACCGTACCTTCTCAAAATGCTCAACTGACATCATTAATATGCCCCCAACAAAAGTACGATAATGGTATTTAGGATGAAGATGAGGAGCTGATATGTGAAATGGTCCTTTTTCAGGAAAACCATAAAACAGTTTGTTGTTCAGTGGTAACAGATCGACATCATGCATGACAATATAATCACAGTTGTCTTTTCTTGCTGCTAGGAATCCAACATTAAGTAGACTAGCACGGTTAAATCTGTTCAATAACAAAAATTAAATTACAAAAAGGAAACACCAATTCTGCGTTCAAGTATCAGGTAAATGAAAACTGCAACTTTGAGTTGGAATAAGTAAGTCTAAAAAGTCTGTATGATAAGCTAGTAAATCTTACATGTAAGTCATTGAGACATATTGACATATTTTTTGTAAAACATATCACTTGCACAACCAAAAATGAACATAATATCATATTTTAAGCATGTCATATGTACCTGTATTTGTCAACTTGATTTGAAATATAAATTTTGTGCCTAATTTTCTTCTCATTGAGAAATTTATGCATATGAGGTGCAAAGCGCAATAGTTCCTCAAATCTGTTTCTGTATGGAACTACAACACCAAGAACATGAGGTCCCCAGGAATTCTCATCTTCATCTTCTTTAGAAGACTTCTCTTTTTCTGTGGAATTGAGATGATTTATTACTATTGCATTTATAACAATATCAGTTATTACTTATTTATAAATCATAATTGTCATTATTAATTGGAGGAGAGATTTTTTTCCTTTCTCATCTAAAATTTCCCTCTTTGCGTTTCTGTCACTCTCTTCCCATTTCATATTTCATTACAAGAGTTTATTTCTACAATGCAAGTTCTATTTCCATTAAGACTGTATTATATTGTCAACCCAATTCCTGACACCTCTGTCTCAAAAGTTTCCCTTTTGTGATGAGAGGCTTTCCATGATTTCTTTGAAGGGATTTATTTACTATCCATAATTATAGCAGGGTGCCGAAACTAAGAAGGCCTTATAATCATGTATAAAACAGCAAATTATATTTCTTCTAATGAGATTTTAATTGCATAATTATTGTAAGTCCTTATGGCTTTACTATAATTACTGTAATTAAAACTATACTTTGTTTTGACACATCATCAAATCCTCGGTAGTATTATTTTATTCAATCTCGTTAAAAATCTTTACACTTTGGATATAAGCCACTAATAAACTTACCAGATACCACAGTCTTTGATTCTTGTACTTTAGTGGGACTTGGATTTTCAATGTGTGTATCAGGTTCTAGTATTTGTTGAACATTTCTTGGTGATTTGGCTACATTTCTACTGCAGTCACACTCGGTGTTTAGTTTGACGAAGGAAATGTAAACCATCCCAACAAAGGCAAACAGATATAAAAAGATTGCTATAAAAGAATTGCGGCGAATGATCATCTTGAAATACGTTAAATTAAAATTGATGAAGAGGAATTGCCAGTCGACACAAAAAATTTCTCTCTCATAACGTAAAATGTATTTTCATTTTGTAGATTTTTTTTGACCAATTCCAAGTCCATTGAGAGATCATTTTTTGATTATTTCCCGTCTTGTATTGCTTCCTTCAAAGATCCATTGTAAAATGCCATTAATAATTAAAGAAATCGTTAAATAAAGCCTTTTTTGAAGGTCCACTGTTCATCAACATGCAGGTTATTTATATTTCCCATGTCGAAATGAAGACTGCGAGAGACTGGGCAAAAACATCGGCTTCGAAATTGTGACTGCTGAGGGAGGGGGTAAGTTAAAAAAATATTTATTTGCATTTTCTTCTCGTGTAAATCAAATAATAAAACCTTAACTAAAAATATATGCTTCAAATGTTATTTTTAGTGTGCTTTGATAGTAAAGGAACAAAGAATCCCATAAACCACACCAAAAATGACTTTTATAATTATACATTTTACCCCCCCCCCTAAAGTAGCATCAGAACGATGCAAACAGCGCATGCTTCAATCCCACGTGCAACACAACCGATCAGTAAACTGTAGTTTTTGTTAAATTTCTTTATCAAAATACAGCTGTTTTTGCTTCATTAGAGTCTGTCGATATGGTGTCATTCATTTGCAACGCGTGTGGTCAAACAGTTCGTAAAAATCAAGTTGAAAAACACTACAGCACCGTTTGTCCTCAGTGTGAAGTTCTGTCCTGTATCGACTGTGGAAAGGATTTTCATGGAGACGAGTATGCTAACCATACAAGTTGCATCTCAGAGGCCGAAAAATACCAAGGAAAATTGTTTCAACCCAAGGATAAAGCAAATAAAGGAGAGCAGAAGCAGCAAGAATGGATAAAAGTGAGTGATGGAGATTAGAGGAATGCGATTTTGTTGACATTTGCAAATGTATAACTTTACTTAAGCTATATTAAAGTTCATTAGTATAAACATACTAATGGTCTATCACTCATACTGCGCTGTGATTGGCTACTCTACTAATGGTCTAATTTGTGATAGACCACTTGCGGGAAAATCAAAATAAATTATAAATTATTTAAAGGATATTTCAATTTATTTTCATTATTTGACCTAAAACAATTAGACCTCTCGGCCTCATGGACTAGGAGCTAATAGCCCATTCGGCCTCGTGGACTCGGCCTCATGGGCTATTAGCTCGTAGTTCACTCGACCTCGAGGTCTAATTGTTAATTAAACTTACAGACTAATTATAATATATGTAATATTTTTTGTGGATTGTTTGTTTTAGCAACTACAAGAAGTATCGACATCAGACACAGTTGATCCTTCAATAAAAAAACATCTGAAAACTTTAAAGCAGTATTCCAACATACCAAGAAAAAAAGCTAAATTTCAGGTGAAGACTCTTTTGTGGAGAATAATTCACTTGAATGTTTTTTTAATAATTTTGTGTCTTGATTTTGCCCTTTTTAGAACTTTTGTAAAAATAGTGTAAATATTTATGACCAGTCAACACTGGATAAACTTTGGGAGGCCTTTTCAGGTGCAAAGGTAAGACTTGTAAAAAAAGAAATAACTTAAAGTATGACATACCTAATATATTTTACCTTTTTTTAGGAAAATGGAACTACTACTACCTCCCCCATAACAGAAACTAATTCAGAGTCTATTGAGGACAGCACAAAAATGGAAAAACAAACTGAAAATAACAACGATACAGAACGCAATGAAAATTCAAAAAGTAAAAAAGAGAAGAAGAGAAAAAAGAGAAAACATGATGAAGTGAAGGATGGGACAAATCCAAAACAAGATGAGCATATTGAAGAAAAAGAATTTGGAAAGAAGATGTCAAAAAAGAAACRAAAACACTTACCAGATGAAAATCATAATGAAGGTAACCTTAGTGTAACTTTGAAAGACTGAGATTGTATTAATATGCCAATTAATCTAGAGTTGTCTCATTATTATCATGATATTTTTCACAACAGACTTTGATTTGAAAGCTGCAAAAGTAGAAGAAAATGGTTTTGTTGAAGAAATCACAGAAGAGACAAAAGAAAGAGGTATATTGACTTTTGAAAAATCTGTCATATCAATTTCACCTCGGGCATCACCTTGGGTTTCCATGGGATTTTTACTCTGGTGATTGACTGCAATTTATGAATTCTTGTTTTGACAGGAAAATTTAACTGGAGTTCTGTCATCAAACAAGTGTTGAAAAAATCTTCTGATAATGAGCTACCAGTCAAGAAACTCAGAAAAAAGGTCTGTTGCCCATTTATTTATCAATGTATATCACTTATAACTAATATTTAGTACTTGTCTTATTTTAGGTTATTGCAGAGTTTATTTCAAGAGGAGGAGATGGCAAAACTCATACTGATAATGAACTTAAAGCATTATTTTTCCAAAAGCTCAGTAAAAACCCTAAGTTTAAAGTAAAAAAAGAAGTGGCCAAGCTATGCAAATAATGAAAACTTTACAGTGGGGATAAAAAAGTGATTGCCTTGTGGACCTTACACAGCCGTTGTAGTGGAACAAATAGAATACATACCCCCTTTCACAGGCATTGCAGTTAATGTATGCACTGTTTGAGTTTTCCATGAAATGGAACAAGGCTTCTCTTGGTTATTTAAGTCATTGCAAAGAAAACTCAAGCAGAAACAAGAGAAGTGTGCAAAGCTGCCTTCAATGGAGGCTGTACGTATACTCACATACACTCTACATTGGCATTACAAATGCAGACATTAAAAAATTCAGATTATTATATCTTAAATAATCCATGTTAGTTTAAAAAATAACCTATAAAGAAAACAGTTTGTAATCTGCTATTGTAGTGTCTTTAAAACATCTTGCTCTACTTCAATGTTAAATTTCCATTAAAAAAAGCTTTATTTCTTAATCGTTACATACAATGATTGTGTTTTATAACAATAATCTCATACTTTGGATTGATAAATTCTTTTTAACTTGAACAAGAACATTTTTTAATAAATTGATTTTAAAACTAGTGAGATTTCTTGATTTGAATATAATATACAACTATATCTCTATTATGTGTGCTTATATTAATATCTTGTACAGAGAGCAATCTTCCATAGTATGTTGTTTTATCTCAACTGTCAATCAACTGTCAATAATATGAACAATGACTATCGTGGTAGCCAAGGTATAGTATGGGCTACCTGTGGTCCACTTGACACAGGAACTCCAAAAACCTACTTGGTAAAGTTCTAAAAAAATAATTTACAATAATCGTGATTGTTTTTGCAAGATGTGCAACTTTCTCTTACGTTGAATGGAAAACTCAAGAATGTGACAAACTTTGGATATAACTACCACACTATTCAAAAGCAATTTGTAAATAATGTAAATGTGAAATGCTATTGGACAAGATAAAAAATGACATCTTGCAACTGGCCTTTCAGAAATTCTAATGGAGACTGGACCAAAAATAAACTATGAAACAAACTGCAAATTCAAAACATCTCATAATATCATACTTATTCTGAGTTTGAGCAATTCCATATTATTTTCCGTATTATGTTTGCTATTTAGAGATAATTATCTAATTATGATCTAAATCTAAAATGATCTTGATTGCATAAACTCTTGCATGAATCATTTACAGGCCCATTGTTGACTTCTTGAAAGGTCAGTGAGGTCAAGACTATGGAGAATCTCCATCCCTATGGAAACCATTTGTCAAACCGCTGCTGCCACCTCTTCCAAAAGTAGTCCTACTGGGTATCATAGATTCTTTGATATTAAATACATCAATAATTTCCTAAATGAGAAAACAATATCATCAATTCATTTGGAAATCTCAAAGCATTTTGATAAAGTTTTATGATTGTTAAGACTTTTTTTAATACTAACCTTGTATTCAGCAAAACTGAAGTTTACCATGACTTGTTTCTTCATGACAGGGTTGGTACACTGTCCCTCTTGAAATGGTTCACAGGGAACTGAAAAAATAATCATTATTTGTTGTCGTCATTAATATTTTATTAAAATATGGGAATGCACCGGCATAGCTTCATTGCTCTTTTGCTCAAACTGTATGGTTCTATGTGCCATAATCTCGAACGATTGTCAGGAGAACCAGTCTACAGTAATAACATACCAATACGAGGAAGCACCGTGTCTTCATCAAGGTCTATTCTTGCTCGACCATCCTAAAGAAAGACTCTTTGCATCAAGAAAGTTGCAAAAGATAGTATATATTGTACATATAGTCACATGGTAAATATTTGTGAAACATTTGAACAGTTTTGTTTAAAATACAGGTAAACTTAAGACATTCCTTCTGATAGAGCGGATTTCGTATGAGTGGGAAACGGACGGTACTGTACTGTGTCCGTAATCGTACTGTAACCAAATTCTAGTGCCCCATTGGTTCACCAAAATTCTGCAGGCCAGGTGCGGTAACTGTGCGGTAACCGTGCGGTAACGGTGTCCCACTCATACGAAATCCGCTCTAAATTTGAAATACACTACCAGAAACCTTCTTGATTGTTCCTCAGTATACAATTAACATTTCATAGTTAACTTTCCAGGCTATCATAAATGTTCTTTTACCTTGATTAGGAAAGCTAGATGAAACATATTTTCAATAGTTTGCGAAAAGGAGGTTGGATTTACGATGAATTTGAAGAAATCTACTGGTATACATTCCCCATCATCACCTAAAAACACAATGAAAGAAAAATTAAGTATTCTGTGTTAAATAGTGTGGCTATTACCATAGATGCTGTAAATGTATTCCTATTGAGCAAGCAAATTGCTTCAGTGGGATCCCTGTTTATTGTTAGAATCTTGTATTGGGATTCCTGTGTCAACTAATCAAGAACTGTTACGATACACAATGCAAGTTCTTGCCACCAAATCCCTGTGCTTTGCAAACAATGTACCTGGATCAGTTGCCTTCCTCAAATATTTATATATTCTTGAAACCTCTATTGTTGTAGCTTCTTCATTACTTTCGATTTTATCCAACTAGAGAGATTGTAAAAACAAAACAGCTCAAAAAGTTAATRATGAACAATGTTTTTAAAGCTATAATAAAAGATCAATATTCATGAACAGCCTTACTAAGTATAAAACATGTACTCAAACTCTTACAAATTCAGTCTATAACTATTTTGCGCGCACAACATTACTTCCAGTTAGTTTTTCACTGAGGTTCAAGGCGATTCAGCATATCTACCTGGCTTGGGGTTACTTTATCAGATGCTTTAGGTTTATCTTTATTGTTAGGGTCTCTTGGTTTGGGCGTTTTTTTAGTAGGTGGAGCTATAGCTAGTGGGCCAAACCTGATGTAAGAATATAGAAGAAAAAAATCACTTGATGACAATCTCATAGTTTACTTAAAAACAAATAAAAAAAGAATGACGGATGGATGGATGGATGGATGGATGGATGGATGGATGGATGGATGGAAAAATGAACAAACTTTCATGATGAAATATTACATTGTAATAATACAATAACAATAATCCACATACATAAATGTCACAGTTGATGTTCTTTTAAAATTTGGAGTTGACATTTTGCCTAGTTTATTCCAGTCTAAGTTTTGGATTCTTTGTCGTTTACTTCTTGATGGGCCGGCAGTATCTGTACTGGTATTATCGTCATCATTGTCATCATCATCATCGTCACTGCTATTGGCTTGACCTGCTGCTTGTTCAACACTTCGGCCTCCCATTAATGTGATCTAAATGTAAAACAAAAACTTTGATAAAAAGACACTTTAGGGATCAGTTACAAAACTTTGAATAGTAAGCGAGGGGAGAGTGTGGAGGAGGACAGACAACATCTTAAAGCAACCAATAAAAACTTGTAACTGCTCATATAGTTGCATTGCTAATGATATCACTGATCTATTTAATAATTATATAATATAAAGTTATACCAATTTCTCTGCAAAAACATCTGCATCAAATTTCACTAAGTGTGTTTGAAGTTTTTGTGCTTGAACTCTGCCCAGTTTTGCCGCTACCACGAGAAACTTGGAGTCTAAGACTGCTTCTCTTGTTTGCTTTACTATAAAGAAATATACATAAGTACCAGTATATTTAAGGATGWAAAAGATGGTAGAAGAAGAACGCATAATTGCAAATAATAATCAATGCTTACTTATTGATCACAGAAGTTTAACAATAATTTCAAAAACTATTTCATGGAATTCACGCATTAATACATGTGGAATTATACAATCAAAATAAACATTACATTGATAATAATTTGAACAGAAATTTACAAGTAATTTGCATATTGATAGATTTTTAATTGTTAATGATTAAAATATATCAGATTACCGTCACTGAACAGCTCCTCTGCTCTGTCCAAAGCCTTGTGCAGACCCCTGGATTCTGGCTTCGTGAATTCAAGACTGTTTTCTATTTAAGTATCAAAGTATCTATCGTTAATTCAGGACCATTCAAAGGAAGCCATTTGTTTATCTATAAAGCTGCGAAGGATATTGCACTGACGCAAACGGCGCGTTGCAAAGCTTCTACTCTTCGTATTTATGAAAGACTTGCTTCTTCGTTTAGTTGAGCTCCGAGAAATAATCAAATCGAGTTTTATAATTATCTACYACACTTAATTTACCGTTATAACTACCGTTAATCCAAAATCAAGACTTACTTTCGGTTTCATTGATCAGCTCGCGGTACTCATATCGAACTTGTTTTCGCTTTTCGCGGTCTTCGTGAGGGTTAAAATGGCTGGGATCTTCGTTATCATCGTCTGCCATGGTCCTTGCACACCTCTTACTGCTTTAACTATAGGATTCGAAGCGAATAACAAATAAAAACGCTGAAGACTTGTCAATCTCACATGGACACCAAAGTTCCCGCGCCAAAGTTCACAGGCATCGGATTACGTCATGGAATGTTGACATGTGACCATTACTAGTCCACGAGTAAACAGGAAACTCGTGGACAGGGACTCCTAATTTACTAGTACTAGTAATTATTTTTTAATTAATTTGTTTGTTGTTTTATAATTATTGCTGTTGTTAGCCTCCGCGCAGTCGGTTATGTTACTTGTAATATTTTTTAATATCAATAGTTATTACAAGTAATGAATCGACTGCAAGCTGTACTATACTCTATTGGGCTACCTGTGTAAGTGACAATTTTCCAAGCTAGGATATGACAGCTTTTCTCTACTTTTTTTCGGTGCATAAATACACCATAGTTCAGTTGTCAAGTAGAATACTGAAAATCTCTGAAAATACAGTTTGGCGGATACGAATTTCAGTTGGTAAAGTTGCCAGAAAAAAGTTTGGCGGGAAAACAAGCGGCAGGACTCCTAAGTTCGGGTTGCTTTTCAATTTCTTCATGACATGTACAGCGCATTTCATTTTTTTCTTTTATTCAGTAAATTTGAGCATTAAATACCATCAACTATTGTAAACGTGGTAGGCTCCTAAAAGAGCCGTTGTTTTGTTTGCAAGCAAGGTCTGTCTACTTGCTACTCGTGTACTTTGTCACGGCCTTGGTTCCCTCGCTGACAGCGTGCTTTGCAAGTTCACCGGGAAGAAGAAGGCGGACTGCTGTCTGAACCTCTCTTGATGTAATGGTGGATTTTTTGCTGTAGTGAACCAGACGAGAACATTCAGAAGCTATGCGCTCAAACACGTCGTTTACAAAGGAGTTCATGATGGACATGGCCTTGCTCGAGATGCCAGTGTCGGGATGGACTTGTTTCATCACTTTGTAGATGTAGATAGAATAGCTTTGCTTCTTTTTCTTTTGTCTTTTCTTTCCTGCTCCACCAGCACCAGATATCTGCTTCTTTCCAGCTTTCTTCGCTCCTTTCTTAGATGTTTTCGCAGGCATTCTCCAAATGAAGAGTATAAAAGTTTCCGACACGATCCAAAGATGAGTTGAAAATGGTGGCAAGTGAYTGCTGTTGGCATTTATATAGTGGGGTCTAGGATCGAAAAGCAAGCTTACCTTCGAGAGAACAAGATGACACTTGAATGGCTTTCTTGGCTCAAGCATTTGATTGGACAGCAGGATTGCTGTAAGCTCTCTAATTGGACAAGATTTACTAGCAAATGATTGGCTCATTCCGATCCGCTTTTTGGTCCATAAAAGTACAAATATTTGGCGCAAAAATTTAGAATCTTCCTAAAGAGTTCAAAGTTGATTCATTTTTCGCTTGCTTGTGATAAAGTTGAAACTATGTCTGGTCGTGGAAAAGGAGGAAAACCTCGAGCTGTGCGAACGTCTAAGTCTGCAAAAGCTGGCCTGCAGTTCCCTGTGTCTCGAGTTCATCGATTTTTGCGCTCAGGAAACTACGCAAAGAAAATTGGTTCTGGAGCTTCGGTTTATCTTGCAGCCGTTATGGAGTACTTAGCCGCAGAAGTTCTTGAATTATCAGGCAACGCTTCCCGTGACAACAACAGAAAAAGGATCATCCCTCGCCACCTTATGCTGGCTGTTCGAAACGACGAAGAACTCAACAAGTTGTTAGGAAAGGTAACCATTGCACAAGGCGGAGTTTTGCCGAACATCCAAGCTGTTTTGCTGCCAAAGAAGAAAGAACAGAAAAAATAAACTTTAATAATTACAATAAACAACGGCTCTTTTTGGAGCCAAAAGTTTATTTTGGTGAATGGCCAAAATTGTTTCAAGTTCTTTTTGATAAAACTACCAGTATCGCTATGCAAAAGTTGTAAAGTCCACTTGAGAAAATGATCAATAATAATCGCCAATCAATKCCGTTTTAGTTCTATCAAGAATCTATGTAAAAACTGTGATGAATAGGAATTTAAAATGTAAGAATAAAATATGATTGAAAACACCAACTTGTAGCTTTATAAATCTTTTTTTAAAAATAAAGTTTCGTCCTTCAGCAAACTCTAAATGATCAGTAGAGTTTTATATTGAATATTTGAAAAAAATTATGCTGATTCCCGATGCGGTGAAACTTCTTCGGTCCTCTGAGCCTGTGTGTGCCTTCCTCTGCTCGTGTATCAGTTTTCCGACCCGATACAAAGCCGATGACTGAACGAGTTGTTTACGGAATATTAACGTAAAGGTATTGATAGATATGACGTCATCTTCGTAAAGTTTATTTTCTTCAGCGGAAGGTAGCAGTTTGTCACAAAACATTGTATTTTCCTTCAATTTCCACTTTTGTGGTCACTTTTTTTCGACATGGGGTTGTTTGGAAAGACTCCCCAGAAAACCCCAAAAGAACAGGTAGGATATTTGAGCCTAGAAAGGTTATTTTCGTTTTAAAAGCCTGTAGTCTCGAAAGCAACTGGACTGAATATTGTCTTATTTTAGCTTACTTTTAAGTATCATTTCTTTGTATTTTACCTTAAATTTAAATGCTCATGATTTTAATCCTAACTTGTGATTTTGTGCAAATACCGATGATCAAAATATGCTGAAGTCGACAACTATAAGCTACCGTTTTGTATAATATTTTCGCAGAAACTTTATTTTGAGTTCTTCGTTGATGTCTTGTAGGTTAGAGAATGGTCAGCTTCGCTGCGCAAAGAAGGAAGGGTTTTAGACAGACAGATTAGAGGTTTGTTCATTGCACAATTGAATTTTTAAATCAATCTTGTCCAATGTCTTAAATTATGTTATGTCTTGTTACCAGCACAACCCAGATTTTTGAACCCCCTTCCCAACTTAACAATTTTTTTGAAAGGCCATTTTTTTACCAGCAATAAAGAATGAAGAAATGAAAGTCCAGCGCTCAATCAAAGATGCTGCAAAGAAAGGAGACAAGGACGTATGCCGAATTCTCGCAAAAGAGCTGATCAATTCCAGGAAGGCTGTCAGTAAGATGTATGCATCTAAAGCACAGCTCAACTCAGTGGAGATGTCTATGAAAACTCAATTAGGTAAATGCGAAGATCCAAAAAGGGGAGGGGAAACCTGTCCTTATCAATATCAAKTAATACATAACTTTGCTAACTTTAATGTCATCATAATAACGTTACAACTCATCTTTTTAGTTCCCAAGATAATCTAGTAAACTCAAGCTCATTTAAGAAGACAGTTACATTTTCAGGCATAACAAGGCTCTCTTTTACTTTTAACATAAGCTTTCACCAGTCTTTTTCCATATTTACCTCATTATAAGTATGCATACTTTGATTATTGTGCATGCATTTTGTCCTCAATGGGCTGACCTCATTATAGATTGAATTCAATTAGCTGTGGCATACCAGTACATGTTTTACAGTGTAATGTTATACTGCAATAGCAGTCAAATACAATCGCAATCCTTTATTTTGTCTTCATTGTTTTAGATAAGCCAGTCACTGTTATCATGCTTAGTGTTGTGATCTTTCTTGTGTAGCAACAATTAGAATGGCTGGTGCAATGGAAAAAAGTGCTGAAGTCATGGCTTATATGCAAAAGTTAGTTAAAGTTCCAGAGATCCAGGCTACAATGACAGAATTATCCAAGGAAATGATGAAGGTATAATGATCCTGAGCGATTAGAATAAAGACAATGATTATGATGATGATGATGATAGCATTGAAGAAACTGATAAAGTTAGCTGTCCTAGATACTTTGGAATTATGGATGCTAATAGATAAATCCCTTATACAATGAAATTACTGAAATGAGTACATGTAACTTGCTACTTGCTATAATTACAGATACATGTACTTAAAATATAGAGGATATTACATGGGCGCGCGGAGATACGGATTTTATCTTCGAGTGTTGAAAAGATCTCTCACGAGTGAGCGTAGCGAACGAGTAAGAGATTTTCAACACGAGAAGATAAAATTCGTATCTCAAAGCGACCATGTAATATTCTGTTTAATCATATAATTAAATATGAAAGCAAATTATGTCGGAAAATATCTTTTTTCTTACTTCCACTATATAGAGAAACCTCGAATGTGTTATTTTCACTAGTGAAAATAGTGAAAATAACATGTTATTTTCACTAGTGAAAATATTAATTTTACGTAATGGAGAAATATAGGTATTTCATAGATAATTATATGATAAAATGATATAACACAGTCCTTAACTTGTCCCTTACAATGAGAGTTGACTGCCATATTGATAATGTCAATAAATAATGATGGAACTTGATGGAATATACAATATAGTGAGATACGTACAGCAATGCAGTGAACTGGAGTTTTACTAAAATTATTCACCTGGTATTGTTCTCTAAGGCTGGTATTATAGAGGAAATGTTGGAAGATACTTTTGAAGGTCTAGAAGATGATGATCTTGAGGAGGCTGCTGATGAAGAAGTTGAAAAAATACTCTTTGAAGTCACTGCAGGTAGTTTGAATAATTGGAGTTTACTACTTTTGTAGCAATAAATATCATGTTTTATGCAATTGTAATTGGATTAATTCTAAAACATTTACATAGAACATGCATAGTTTTAAACAAAATGTGATAATTATTTTTGTTTTTCTTTTCAGGTGTTCTTGGAAATGCAGAACATGCTACCACTCCTTTACCAGTAAGATTAATATCTGAATTAATTACTGGATTGTAATATTCTTTTAATTCTGTCTTTTAGTATGAGATTATGTTATCTTTTCAAGACAAATCTTGATCTTGATTACTTAATCTGTAAGCTCCTTTGTAGTTAAACATTTCTTTATCTATTCATCAGACAGGTGCAGAGGGGGTCTCAGAACCGGAGCCTGAGGAGGACATGGATGAGATGCGCTCAAGACTTGAAGCACTTAGAAGTTGAAAAAAATCCCCTTGCACTAAACTGTAATATTATTGAAAAACTAAATGGCACTTCACATTCCATTATTTTAGAAGTTTTGGTGTGGTTTGATGAAAGGCCAAATTAAATTAATTATAGTACAAAAATGTACAAATCTGAAGAGGCTAGGAATACCTGGCCATGCAGGACATCAAAACATATCTATCTTGTCGTGTGATTGATAGTTTAATCATTTATTATTTTCACTAATGTGTTTTAGACCATTGATATTTTGATGGCCTGCGATTTACTTGTAGAACACATGAACTAATATGTAATAGTAACTATTTACTATGCTTAAAAATGCCATTTTTTACATAATTGTGTTCTTGCACTCCATTGTTATTAGGATTAATATTGATTTCTATATTATGCTTTTAACAGTGCTTTTTAAAGGACAAATAAATTAGAAGGCACAACTTTTGAATACAACAATTCTCCCTTCTCACTCATCAGCCATCTTGGATTTAAGTCAAGGCTGATCACCATTTCTAAAAGGTTTCAAGATAGCTGGCAAGTGACAAGGGAGAATCACATGCAACCTGCCCAACTTGTCTTTACAACTTGGTTACTACTGTTGTAGAAATTCAAAATTTATTGTTTGATATATTAAGTACACTGCATCTGTTGCAGCCTCCCTGTAAAGAAGACCTAGATGTGTTGCATGCATTGATTGTAGGCAAAAGTTGTGCTGTTTAATTCAGCCTTAATATGATCATAAATCCACCCTTGACAATGTTCTTGAAATAGGTGTAACATTTTTATATATGTCATGTATCTCCCTAATAAGAGATGTAATTTTCAGTAGAAACTTGCGTAGTACAAAATAAATGCTAAATAACTACTTTGATTCATGTTGTCAAATCAACATTATTTTAGTCATAATCAGTAAAATTTACTTTGCGGATTTTAAGTTTGTTCACTTCAATAATGATAATGGTACACTCTGAGCCCAAAGTGGTACATGGGATACCAGGTATCCATAAAATGATTCTAATGATTAACTTTTTTCTTAAGAGGCATCAAATGTTTGTCGTTTTGAAGCTTTGTGTTAGTTTTTCGCATCATTACACTCGTCAACAATGAAGCGACTCCATTTTGTGCAACAAAGCAGGATGGCAGGATGAAAGTTATAGTCCTTGCATTTGTCCATAGCAGCCCTCATAAGACGTTTTTCTTTTTGTTTGCAAAAATAGAAGTAGTTGTAAGAGAAACAACATMAAGTATCTTTTATTGCTATAAAAAGTGCGACTCCCGGCCAACATGCTGTGTTGTACAAAATGGCACCGCTGCAAGAAAAACCTGCAGTTTACTCGCGTCGCGTTTTGATTGGATAAAACTGAGAGTGAATACAATTTCACAGGATGTAAAGAGTGTTTAATGCTACTCCAACAAAAACAACCGATTTAAAAACATTTAAGAGTCTATGACTAAGGATAACGTACTGAATCCAATGAATTAAACCCTTAGCTCGTGTCCMTCAAGAAGTAACTATCTAATAAGCCAAAGAGGAAACGCCAGACGTTGGAAAATAATGACATTTAATCTGAAAAGATGAAATTATGCAAAGTTGAACGGAAGGAACTTTGGATAGTGATATCTGAATTGTGTCGATATTTCACGTTACGTTGTCCAAAGGTCATGAGATTGTCAGTCACTCAGAATGTTGTGTCATACACGATGTTAAAATACATTAGTCTGATAGCCACACGTGGCTAAACAGCCATTTTTGAACAAACGTATATCTTTTTAGAARGGCACGGAATCAAGTTATGAATGATACAAATTCCTTTCTAGTCTACAGCGTATTTCAAAAACAACTTATAATCACAGTAGATTTTGATTTTCTTGTTTTTTGCGTCAGCATCATGTACGCGGAAATGTCAAAAAACGCTAAGATACGACAGCCGCCATTTTGAAAAGTGGTGAACCGAAAGGACTGTTTACAGCGGTTTTTCAATTTTTAATGACTAATACTCACTTCATYTGCTCCAAAACAAAAACAAACTAAACAAACACTCCGCATTGACGATCTTCCACTAGCGCCTAGTACATTGGAGCGCGCACATAGTCTCGGATACATTTGATGGGTGGAATATTGCCAACAATRATTAATACCCACAATCAATTTCGGACGTGCATTATAGTAAAAAATAAAAAAACCCGAATCCATTCCTTGTTTTTCTTTTCATAATTATTATTGTTATTATCTTTCGCAGAAACCAGATTTACCATCACTCGATGTAAAGAGTATTATACCTTTTATGTCTGATTCAGTACTTTGATTATTAAKCGCCAACTTCCTCAAAATCATACATGTGTGAWTATTATGAGCAGGTCGAACATTTGTTAATAAGCATGTCCTTTTTATAAGGAGGCTTTGAAATATTTATTGATTTTAACGCGAAAACGGGGGCGATTGCAAACAAAGAGCAACCCTTAACGTGGACTGTCGTTGTTTGGCAAATAGTCCATAGTTTCATGGCGTCAGTCTTTTAATACTCAAACGAACTCTTTAAAAAATCAATTCAAATTGATTAATATTGTGTTGTTGATTATTAATTGGCGATCTTATCATCCAAGTTTAAGAGGTTCAGACTGATACGATAGAAGAACACCTATCTTCCTTAGTTACGCCAGGCAAGATCTTGGTATTGTTATTGACAAAACGCTCTAAAAAAAAACTAAATAAATCATCAATCTCGTGAAAACCATTCGTAATTTTGTATCATTACTCTGAAWCGTATTTTGTTTCTGAGGAAGTCAACGAAATGTTCACAAAAATGACATTTATTGCTTTATCGGAGTCATAAATCAAAGAATAATCAACTTTCCGGCTTAAGTTACTCATTCTGACATTCAAAAGGTTTTTTCTATAGAATTGTAACAATTAAGTTTCTTTGTTTTCTTRAAGTCTA